ATAATTTCAACAGATGAAGAAAATTCAGCATGCCTTTGGAAACTTACCTAAACCTAATCAAGGATATATATGACAACACACAACCAACATCATCCTAAATGGAGGAAAAACAAAACAATACCATTAAAATTAAGAACAAGACAGGACTGTCCAGTATCCAGACTCCTTTTCTATGCAATGCTTGAACACCAGCTATAGTAATAAGACCAAAAAAAAAAAGAAAAAGAAAATAAAGGGATACAAACAGAGAAAAATGTCAAATTATCCCTATTTGCAGATAATACAATAGTATACAAAAAGTATTCCAAAAATTTACCATGGGGCTGGAGAGACAGCTCAGCAGTTAAGAACAATGACTGTTCTTGTAGAAGACCTGGGTTCAATTCCCAGCACCCACATGGTGGCTCATACCCATTTGTTACTCCAGTCTCAGGGAATCCAACATCCTTCTTGTGCCTTTTGAGGGACTGAACTTACACACACACACACACACACACACACACACACACACACGTAAACTGAAAAAATTGTTTATTTATTTTTTGGTTTTTTGAAACAGCTTCTCTGTGTAACAACAATTTTGGCTGTCCTGGAACTCACTTTGTAGACCAGGTTGGCTTCGAACTACTGAGATCCACCTGCCTGTGCCTCCCAAGTGCTGGGATTAAAGGCATGCATGCCATCACTAGCTGGCTATTAAATTTAAAAAAAAAGATTTAAACAGAGGCATCAGGTGAGAGCCACTGAGCATATGGATGTCTTCTACACTGAAACTCCATTGCAGCAAGGCACAGTCCTAAGTTAAACAGGTAGTACTAGGGATTTTTCTTTTATTCAACACTGACATTTTATTTTCTGAAGTTTATCATAATTTTACAAAACAGAACAAAACAAAAAAGCAGGTATCACAAAGAGTAGTTTACAGACTTTCTGCATTGGTTCACCCCTCAATCAGTGACTCTGGAACTGGCGTCTTGTGTAAAGACCAGCCAGGCTGATTCCCTCTCGAATATGTGCGTTCACGTGATTGCTCTTGAAACTACTCCGTAATAGCAACTTTTTACAAGCACCGGTCATTTTTTGAGAACCAATTTGGTTTGTCCAACAAAATAAACACTTTTTTTTTCTTAAAAAACACTGGGCTGAAACACAGACTATGTATTTGTTTGGATCAGAACCAATCTTTTCTGAGTTCCTGTCATCTGAAGAACACTGCCCACATCACTGGGCATATGAAATGACAGTGGACACCTGTGGAAATGTCTGAACAAAGTGGGATTTTGCCAGAGGCAGGTAGAGCTTGAATTACATCAGTTTCGATGTCCTTTCCCTGCCTTGGGGTGGTTTCCCCAGATAGCCTTATAATCAGAAGGAAAATGAGATGTGTTTATACAGAGCAAGACTGCTTGCTCTGGACTCTGGGTCACCACAAAGAGACTGAGAGGCCGTAATAATTGGATGCTAACAAGAAGTAGCACACTTACACTCACAGCATCACCTGGAGGCAAGCAGAAACACAGCTGGAAATTGGTAGTGGGGCTCACCCACTACTTGCTCTGGAAACACATTTTGCTTAAATAAGGGAAATATGGTCCAGTTTTGCAATGTTAATAGCTGCCGGTCTCTCATTTTTAAAAAGAAAGATCACTTTATGACTAGCTTGAGTTAGAAAACTTACCTCAAATTTGATCAGATCTTGATTAAAAACAAAGTAAACCAAAGTAAAAACAAAGTAAAGAGTTAAAATTGCACCATCAAACTTGAATATAAATTCAGAATGGTATACATATTATTGACATGGTTATGAAAGGATCAAACACTCTCATTAAATTTTTCTCCATGTTATTTCAATTTTCTTTAAGGAAACTGACACGTAATTTTCTTCTTTATAGATATGAAAAAGGAAGCAAGAAGACAAGGCTGCTACCCACAGGGCAGCGGTGCCGTTTGGTTGCTTTGGTCTTTGTACCAGCAACTCCCACTATTGTGAACACATGCAGTTCCAGCTGGAGGACTACAGTTTTTCTTGCAGTCAAACTCCGCAGATGAACCCTACTACTCCCTTTCATACCACTGTGGGCTCTCAAAGCCTTTAAAAATATACTTCATTAGGAGGTCCACACCATTCTTGTCCAGAGCTTGAACGCCCTTTTCAATAGCATTAGCTTTAAAAGAGATGAGCACTTTCAAGACAATGCTGCCTGCCGGGTCCTTCACTGCCTGACACTTTGTGCCTGGAGCACAGCTGTCCTGTTTCCTTGTTGCAGGCATGAGTCCACCTAAGCCTCCTCGGGCCGGGCTGCCCTCCTTGTCCACGAACTTGTTCTCATCATATTCATCCACGTCCACCTACCGGAAGCGGGCCGATAACACTGTGTTCTTCAACATCCGGATTGCAGGCAACGCTGGCCTCCCCTTCGTGGTGCCTCGTTGCCCTTCGCAAGCCCAGCCTGGCGCGACTCACTTTCCCCTCAGGACTAGGGATCTTCAGGGTTAGTTGATGGCCAGTGTTGCTTTTGATGTCATGTGATGAACTGATGAACACTTCTTTTTTTTGTTTTTGTTTTGTTTTGGGGGGTTTTGTTGTTGTTGTTGTTGTTTGGTTTTTCAAGACAGGGTTTCTCTGTGTGGCTTTGAATCTTGAAGCCTGAACTCCTAGAACTCACTCTGTAGACCAGGCTGGCCTCAAACTCACAGAGATCCACCTTCTTCTGACACCCAAGTGCTGGGATTAAAGGCATGCGCCACCACCACCTGACTGTGATGAACATGGCTATAGGACACATTTTTGTGGCTTTGTCTCCCGGTTCCCATAGATTTCACCACGAACTTTAGAATACTTACTCTTAGGTTTTACATAACTTATTTTTCCCCCAGGAAGTTGCCAGCCTCTTCCACTGACTAAATCCAACTGGTACCATAAATAGAGTCCTGTCGGGGGAATATGGCTCTCAGGCTACCCAAGAGTAAGCTCAGATTCACAAGGAAAGTGATGGATGACGGGAGGTATCATCAGCCTCAGTGCCAAAATCTGGTTCAAGGCTTTAAAAATGTGTCTTCTGTGATGGCTTATGCTATATGTTAATTTTATTTCTATTATTACAGCTCTTTCCTGCCTATTCTGCCAGCTATGGTCACAATATGTCCATTAGGAAGCATGGGCGGGACACTTAGTTCACAGTGCAGCAATGTGAAATGGTAGGACATCTGTGCCTCACTAGAGTAAAAGCACAGAATCCCAAGAGCTGATCACTCCATCATCCTAGTATGACTTACCCCAAGAATGGACTATTGATTAAAAGGGATGTTTGGCCTGTCACCTCACCCTTTGTCTCTTTTTTAATAGTGAAAACCACAGTAAGAAGCCCCTTCACTACACATAAGCAGATGCCAGCACTGTGCCCTTGGACTTCTGAGACCCCAGAACTATGAGTCAAGCACAGTCTATTGTTTATAAATTGCCCAGTCTCACCTACTTGCTATAATAGAAAGATGCACCAAGACCCCGCTCCTCTAGCAACTCTAAATAGAATTTTTCCTGTGTGTGTGGCCCAGTAGGCAGTTTAAGCCTCAACTTTAGGTTTTACTGGCAGGCTAAGAGAATCCGAAGATAACGGAGAGTTACAATCCATCTACAATGTCTTTTTCAGACAGGCCAGGCTCCTCAACAGTCACCTTCTCCCTCATATCCTGGTCTTAACTGGTAAAAAGTTAACTGACACACTGGCAGCCAATGCTGACACACAATGCTAAGAGTCACTTCGGCAAAGCAGCCTCATCTGATTCCCGTCAATGCAAACATATCCGGCTTGCTTGCCCTTCAGGAACTTGACGGCCTGCCAGCTCATTTAGCAGTGTTCAAGTGCCAAGGTGGAGCTATTTGTCCAAGAGCTCAGTGGGTTATGTGATGCTCACTGTGGCTAAGGGAAGCAGAGCCACATAGAGGCTGTACGTGGCCCGCCATGCTCTCCTAACGTGCAGGCTGTCTTTGAGGCAACCACGCAGTTCAGGAGTGATGCTTTCTTCACATGGAGTCACAGAAAGTAGGGTGTTTACCAGACTCTCAGGGTCTCGTGCATGTAGATTTGTAGATTGAGATTTGATCTTTTTGCAACCTTCTCTTGAAAACCCCCAGAGGGAGGAGTCTGGGAGGCGGTGGGTTGCATGATCTCCTTTCAGGAGTTCCGACAGTTATTACAAACACTTGCACACAGATTCTCTGGGTCTTAGACAAGTTCAAATTCCTCAGATACCCAGGGTAAGCGCTCACCTTATTCCTGCCTGGAACACTCTTTCTCCAGACTCTGAGTGGCATCTACTGTCTCCCAGATAAAGACTTGCAAGCATCCCCTCAGAATCCCCTACCCTGGTCATAACTGAAACCCCTTCCCCCAAGCCCCATATTTTCCCATCTCCCCTGATCTTTACCCTGGCATGCATTCTTTCTGTTTCTGTTACCCATGTTAAATCAGTCTCTTCTGTACCCCTGCACGGTGCCTGGCACACTGTAGGTGTTCGCTGGTTCAGAGTGGGTTCTGCTTAGGGGAATCCCGTGATGGATGCTGGGATCTGCTTACCGCCAAAGAACCAAACCATCACTGGGCACTTAAAATGGATCCCAAGAGAGGAGCAATGCAGGGGGAGATTTGACTTTGATGGAACGAATCTCATGCTCCCGCAAAGACCAAGCTTTTCTTCCTGAAAGTCCTGGGTCCCCTTATGGAGATTTCTACATGAACTATTGGGGTGATCTACAGAGCTCTGACACTTGATCTGCCCAAATGAATGCCAAGATCCAAGTTTGGTACCCAACCCCCACCCCAGGCATCTGGAATCTCTGCACCAGCACTGCAAGATAGTAACCTTGAAACTGCGAAAAACTGAAAAGGTGAAATAATGCCTGTGAAGTTGCCTTTTTGGAAAATTTAAAAGAGGTCAGAAGGGTGAGCAGTGGCCTCCCGCAGGGGCCTTTTCCTTCCCCCAGGGGACTTCGCACCTACCGTGGCCAGAAGAGAATCCAAGAAGTTGGCTGAAAAGACAGTGCCCCTGGAGAAGGAAGTGCTGAGATGCAGGCTAGCTCCTTTGAGTGCCCAGTCCATTCCACCCATCTGCTCAATAAAGTGGATGTTGGAGGGATTCTCTGTAAGACAAGATGAAAAGGCAAGGCCAGCATACACAGAAAAATGAGAGCTTGCTGCCTGTACTGCCAAGCTCAGTCCTCTCTGGCACAGCAAGCTCTACGGGGAAGAGTGGCCCATGGGCTTTTCTTCATGTCCCTCCTATGGTAGTTCAATCAGTAAAGTGCTTGCCACACACGCAGGGAGAGCTGATTGAGCCTAGAATTTATGTAAACAAACAAACAAACAAAACAACAGGACTGAAAAGATGAGTCAGCAGTTCAGAGCACTGACTGCTCTTCCAGAGGACCTGGGTTCCTTTCCCAGCACCCACATGGTGGCTCACAATTGTCTAGAATTCCAGTTCCAGGGGATTCCACACCTTCTTTTGGCCTCTGTGAGCACCAGGCATGCATGTAATATGCAGACATGCAGGCAAAAACACCCATAAACATAAATTAAAATAATAATAATAATGAATAAAACAATGAGAAGCTAGGCATGGATATTCATGCTTATGTCCCAGTACTGGGGGTATGGAGACAGATGGGCCCCTGGAGCTCTCTGGCTAGTCGCACTGGCTCATTTGGTGAGCTACAGGCCAATGAGAGACCCTGTCTCAAAAAACCAAAGTGTGATCCGAAGAGAAGGCCCAGTGGGTAAAAGCACTTGTCAACTTGATGACCCGAGTTTGATTCCTAGGACCCATGTGATGAAAGGTGAAAAACACCTGTCTGATGGTGTCCTCAAGGCTATACACGGACCACCTGTCTAGTCTATACACACACACCGACATAAGACTTTGAGTTAATTCTGCCGGGTCATTTAAACCAGAGACCTCAAAATTCCTCCCCACTCTCTCTTAGGTTGTCTATGCTCTACCAAAGCCAGACCCAAGGCTCCCATTGTAGCCTGACCCTTTCCCGCAAAGAAGAGCAAAGACTGAGGGTTTGGCAGATGACTGGTTAATGTGGCAGTCATTGTCTGTTTCCAGGTCTTTGGATGAACAATGCCTGTGGTCCCTGCTGAGTGATAGAACATACCGCATCTCCTCCCACCACTTTAGTCTACTATTTCTTCTACTTACAGACTTAAAGTTTTGAGAGTCAGAGATAGTTAAAAGGGAGGAAACAATGAAGCTATGCATTCAACTTGCAGCCACCTAGGCTTCAAGGTTGTTGTCAGTAGACTGACAGGCGCTGGTTCAGTTTCTTCACATGGGCTTTGATGGATGATGCCACCAATGGATACCCAAATAGCACTGAAAGGTTTCTGGGGCCTATTATGGTTTCTTAGTCCTCTGACTGTGAATTCTAGAACGACCGTGAGGCATCAACTGTGCACCATAAAAATCTCTCCCTTGAATATTCCACTTACAAGCAACTTACTCAGTTCAGTGAGAATGGGGATCTGCTGGTATCTTCTTTCCTGGTATTTACTGAAGGTGGATGCAGTACTGACTCCTACAGACAGTAAGAAATGATGACAAGAACAATAAACAGTTCGTAAAACTTGGCTGGACACACAGTAACACTGTGTGACCCAATGCTTTAGCTCAGCAACATTACTTTCTAGTCCATAGCTCAAATTCATTTCTGTATTTCGGAAAATAATCTACCATAATTGTCCCTTGGTATCTTCAGGAAGTGGAGACCCTTAAGTACCAATCCTTGGAAGTTCAAGCCCTTTCTCAGAAAATGCCAGTTATTTGTGTATCACTGATGTACATTCTCTCAAACACTTTACCTTACCTCAGATGCCTGATAATACCTAATACAATGAAATGGCTATAATAATGTTTACAGAGCAATGATGTAAAGTCTGCATAGCTTTAGATGTGTTATGTAGATGCATTTTCCCTAGAATATCTTCTGTCTGTGTTTGGGGAGGAGATGCAGAAGCCACAGTACAGAGGGTTGACTGTATTCAGTCGCTACTCCTTTGAAAGGGATGGTACATGGTGTGTGTGTGTGTGTGTGTGTGTGTGTGTGTGTGTGTGCATGTGACAAAAGTCTCCAAGTAGTAAGGTGTTAGTGTTTAGGTAGCATTCCAGCCACATTAATAAACTTATAGAACTTCGAGGAAACCAACTACTAATGAGTTAATGCTGCTGCTTCATGGGTGCTTCTGGAGATCCTGCAATGGACTTCTGGCCCCTAATATGATCTGCCACCTCAAGATCCTCTAGAGGATATTGCTTGTGTCTTTTTCCTGTTCCTCAGAATTGAGTGGCACCACACTCTGAGAGCCCTGCCTCCACCTGGAATACCTTGGGATTCTGTACAGAACAGTTTGATGTGGAGGAAGTTCAGAGTGCCGCATTGTCTAGGTTTGCCAACCTGTTCCCCTTGCAGTGTGGCAGGGTAGTAATCAGAGCAAGACTGGAAACCCTCCAGGCTTCCCAAAGACATGTCCAGGAAGCCTGGTGCTCTTATGGATCCTCTGAAGAGTCCCCACTTCTGTCCCCACCCCCCAAGTCTCCCGGGATGAATGTCTAGGGAATGGGCTGGCTTGGCTTCCTATGTGAGTTTATCAGAATGTCAGGAAGATCTCCCAACCTTATAAAAGGCTCACCAGATATGAGGGGGTAAACTTCCTCAATCTCGGTACTGCTGGCCTTTGTGTGGGGTTGACCCATGCACTGAAAGCTGTTTACCAAACAGTATGTATAACCTTACCAAGAGATGGCAGCATCTCTCCAGTTATGACAACCAAAACAGTCACCACTGACCTAGGGAAATACAAAGACTGACTGTCCACCATCAGTTGGTACATCATGGGCCAACTTCCATCCCCGATACAGAACCTAATACATCAGAGAAAAATCAGCATCTTTTTACTTAATTAATAAAAGATGGAAAAAAAATTGGCCCAGTGTGATGGGCACACTGTTGACCTCAGCACTTGGGAGACAGGGGCAGATGGATCGCTGTGAGTTCAAGGCCATCCTGATCTACATAGTGCATTTTAGGACACATGAGAACCTGTCTCGAAAAAATAGAATTAATTTTTAAAATCTTTCTTTCCTATAAAGAAAGTTAAGTTTTAAAACAATAACTGAAAAACACCTGTAAGAGTCTAAAAGAATTGATTAATACAACTTGTTGTCATAACATAGTTGCTACACTTTCCAATATTAGATTAACATCAAAAATAATGCCTCTTACATTTCAGTGCCTTTTTCCTTAAAATTGGAAACCAGTGTACATGAATTCAACCTTGAAGATGGATATGGGTTTCCACATGACTTTGAACTCCAGAGGAAGTAACTTGGTTATTCCTGCCATAATATTGTCACAGTCAGAAAATCTGTGACATCTGTCCCAATCTGTCTTGCTCCTCACAACTCAAGTATTTGGGGAGGATTTAATTCTCTCTCCTTATCCCACCCTCCCTAGGCCCTTCCCCTCAGGAGTTGTTCTGACCTGGCACTGGAGGCATCGGGGTAGGGCAGCTGATCCGCAGGGACTGGATGTTGAGAGTGGCCATGATAGTCTCAGTGTCCACCAGAAGCTGGCTGCTCAGTGGCTTGGACGGGGATGCTAAGATCGCACACATGGAGCATTGCTCTATGTTGACCGCATGCAGATCTCCAGTGTAGAGTGCAGATCCCTAGGGGGAGAATTCCACGTTGTGAAGGGGTCGTCAGATGGACAGGTCTGAGATCATGTTTCATGGAGTCGGGTCTTTGTGGGTGATGCAGGTTTTGAGCTAAAGACTCTACTGGCTTGACTAACAATTATCAGCTGTCTGATACATCGTTCTGGAAATTGTTAGTGCCTCATTGTGGATTGATGTGACAGATCCCTCTCAGAGAACAAGTTTGGATGAGACAAAGGAGAATGATGGGGAGCAAAAATCCATTATGACAACTCAAGTAAGAGAAAAGAAAGCAAAAGGTGACCATGACGACGAAAAAGTCAAAGAAAGGAGGCATCATGGAGCTACAGGTGAATTCGACATCCCTCAGCCTTGCTAGTAGGCCATCCCTCTTGTATTCTCACATAGCTAGTAATGTAACCCACCTTTAGGATGCTTGGGGTCTGTCCTGGTCAACATTTCTACTGCCATGATCAAAAGCAACTTGGGGAGGAAAGGGTTTAATACACCCCACAGTCCATCACAGAAGGAAGTCAATTTAGTAACTCAAACAGGGTAGGAACCTAGAGGCAGGAACTGATACAGAGGCCACAGAGGAGTGCTTCTTCTGGTAGGTCCTGCACCACCCACAGTGACCTGGGCCCTCCCACATAAATTATCAATCAAGAAAATGTATCCCAGGTGGGAGCATTTTCTCAGTTGAGGTTCCCTCTTCCCAAATGACACTAGATTGTGTCAAGTTGACATTAAACTAGCCAGCACAACAGATCTCTTGTCAATTTGATACACAGCCACATCATTTTAATCCATAACTCTTTCTTTCTTGTTTATCCCCATAATCTCATATTAATGTTAATATCAGAACATAAAACATAAGTCATTTTTGAAGTTCCATAGCATTTAAAAATTCAGTCTTCTAAAAACATCTATAGTTTCTATCAATGTTCAAAGCCTCTTCAAATTATACAAATATCCAAAGTCTCTTAACCATAGGATTCTACGAAATAAAAATAATTTATTCAAGAAGAATCGGGACATAGAATCAAAGCAAAGTAAAACAAATTCAATAGCATATAATTCAGTCTCACACTTTTGTGATTCAAACACAATTTTCTAGGCTCCAAAGGGCTTGCAATAGTACACATAGTTCATCTCATAGGCTCAGGCCAGCTCCACTCCATAGCTGCTGCTGTCCTTGGTGGTTGTCCCAGGTAATGAATTTCCACTCTGAGTTCTCCTGCGGCAACTGGCCTGTATTTTCACCAAAAGACTCTCATAGGCTTTCTTCAGGAACTCTACCCCAGCTACATGGGACAAAGCCTCAAATTTATCTCTGACTAATTCAGTCCTGAGTCTTCTGTTTCAACTGAGGCTTCACCTTCACCATTGGCCTCTACTGGCCTCTCATAAAGTCAAGTCTCAGCTACGCTCCATGACTCCTTGATGCCTCCAAACCAGTGTCACAAGGGAGACACTTACACTTTACCGAGTTCAGGCATGACCATAAGGTACAGACAGCCTTGGCCTCCTTAGGACCACAGCTTCCTGTGCTGAGTCTGAGAAAATTCTCCCAGGTTTATGATCCTGGACGACGCTGGTCTCTTCTTAGTCACCATTTAATCTCACCTCCATCAAATCAGCATCGATTGTCCTAATAAAGCAAAGGTTTCACCTTAGTGGTTCTAGTCTCTTCTTAATCATATCCAATTCTTCAGTCTTAATTGACCAGAACAACAGATTCTCAAAGCTCCAAATATTGAACAGCGCTGACAGACTCTTTAACGAACTCTGAAATTCCTTCTGAAATTCCACAAACCTCCATTATCTGAGCTGCTTTCAGCATCATCTTCAAAGTTCAAACAAAAGTTCATTCAGCTGAACACTCAATGGCTTCTCCAGCCCAACGTTCCAAGGTCCTTCTACAACCGTATCTAAAACATGGTCAGGTCTGTCACAGAAATACCCTGTGAAAGGGTCTAATCATTCGAGACACTGGCTAAGACTGGAGAGTTCTAGGCATCTTCCCTCTTGTTGTGTAGAGCGAAGCAGGGAGGATGAGGGACAGGGACTTCATGGTGGCTTTTTAAAAAACAGCAAATCCAATTTGCTTTTTAGAAAATAAGTATTTCCCACACACTGCCAGTATTATTTTATTAAACACTCAAATGCTTTGGTGCATTTCCACAGTGCTTATCATGGAATTTTCATCCGTGAATGTGGTGGCACAGCTAGGGATACAAGCCTGTGAAAGTTCTATGGAAATAAAAGGTCACCTGGAGTGGCACACAACCACACTGTAGTCCGTCTTAGCCCATTCTTCTGCCTCTGCAACTGGGAAATTTATGAAAAGAAATTAATTTCCCATAATTCCACAGTCTAGGAAATCCAAGAGAGAAGGGCCACATCTTATGAAGGCCTTCCTGCTGCATCAAGAGTGCACACAGCACAGAGCATGCGGCCACCTTCCCCGCTCATCAGGGCCCACTCCAGAGTGGCTGCCTCTCTCACAGCAGCAGCATTAACACATTCACGGGAGCAGAGTCCTCGTGCCTGGTCACTTCCTCTCAGCACAGTCACAGTGGGAAAGTGGCATTCCAACCACAGGTCCATTGCAATAGGGGAGACTGAGCCCCTCCTCCCCATCTCCTTCCTGTGATGCCCCCGTGTGGCTGTGTGTTCCAAGTACCATGTGACCAGAAAAGATGAGTAAGTCAGAACCCAAAGGCCCAGCCAGAACCAGCTTAGGTTTAAGTAAGGAAGAAGCAGACTGGAAAACACAGAGAAATTCTCATTATACACAGTCTATAAAATATGCTAGTCTGAACACAAACTCAGGAGCCTTTGTAGGAGGAGGGCCCACTTGTTTGTCCTGGTTGCCCAGAATTGAAATAACCACACAGAAACTGTATTAATTAAATCACTGCTTGGCCCATAAGCTCTAACTTCTTATTGGCTAAATCTTACATCTTAATTTAACCCATTTCTGTATATCACCATGAGGTCATAGCCTAGCAGCAAAGTTTCAACACGTCTATCTCTGGCAGTAGATCCATGGCATCTTTCTGACTCTTTCCTTCTCCCAGTATTTAGTTCTGTCTTCCCCGCCTACCTAAGTTCTGCCCTATTAACAGGCCAAGGCAGTTTCTTTATTCATTAACCAAGAAAAGCAACATACAGACAGAAGGACCTTCCACACAATTTCCCCTTTTCTGTTTAAACAAAAAGGAAAGCTTTAACTTTAACATAGTAAAATTACATATAACAAAACAGTTATCAAGCAAGAATTAGTTACAATATTTATGTCTACTTTATCTTGTATCATAACTATAATATGATAAGGAATATATAAGGAAAACTATAATGATAAATTCTTCAGCTTCATCGAAGACTCCAGAAGGATTTAATATTACCTAAGTAAACAGGAAGTGCATTGTAAGCAACTTCTAAAACTCTAGAGTTGACAGAGACATCTCACTGCCTCGATAGTTACCCAAAGTTCTTCTGTACTGTTGGGGCATTCATCTTCAGCCTACAGGCCCATAATATCCAGCAGATACTATGAAGTAGAAAATTTCAAAGACAGGTCTGCCTATGTTGGCAGTTTGCCAGTCACTTTCTTCTGTATCCTGCAGAATGTCTTGAAGACTCTTTCATGAAGCAGGAACCCCAAAGGATCATCTCACCTTTATGCAAATTCAGCAGACATTTCTCTGTGGATCCTGCATGTCCAGTTCATCTAACAAACTCCATAAGGAGTCTCTTTGATGCCCATCTTCCTCTTGAAGTAGATTGGTACTGCCAGGAGCAGATGTGTCTTATTGTCATGAAAAGTCCTAAATTTTTAAAACATTTAAATGCCATATTCTGAAGGTCTCTGAAAGATTTGAAGAATACCTTTCCATCTGAAATACATCTCTGTACATCTAGAAAAATCTAACTAACATGACTATAAGCTTGACTATTATAGATGAGTATCTATTAACTTATATTTCTTAATTATACACTACATTTTAAATGAGCTACACAAACACAATACCTAAATCAAGATCAGAAATACATATACATATAACAAAATTGACCTTAAAATTATATCAATAAACCAAGATCCATACCAATGCAAATCTCTATAGCATATCCATATCATATCCCCCTTTAAATGTAAGCAAACAATTATGAACAATATTTGGGAATATGGGCGTAGTTATTTCTCTCCAAACTGCTTCCTGTTGCTTATTGGGCGAAGTAATTTTCTTTGTGGGGTGTCTACAGCAACCTTTCAGGGGGTCTTGTTCCATGAAACTATATTGGTCTGAAAGCAATCCAGAGGTTCTCATCTTCTGTGGAAACAAAAGAAGAACCTCTTTTCCAAAGCAACTTATCATTAGACTCAAATTTGGAAGTCAAGATACCTTTATGTTGGTTTAACTTAGCAGTTCATACAATGAAATGTCTCTCTATACTTAGCTCATTCACAGTCAAAATATTCAAAGAAAACACAATAATATATATAATCCAGACTCTCTGTGAATTTTCCATCTTTACATGGCTTATTTTTATTCTATTGTTTTTAATATCTATTTTATTATCTGTACTCCTTTAATCTATGACTGTTTGTCCTTTTCAACTCTCTATATTCTTTTCCTTCTCTTTCCCAAGCCTACATACATTTATCCAACACTGTGACTCATCTGGATTTGTCTGTAATTATTTTCTGACCAGAAGCGCTTCTTAAAATGCTAAGTGCTTCTTAAAACTTAAGCCGTGCAATTATTATGGTATATACATACTCGTTGCTTGCTTGTTGGCCCAGTCTAAAACTTAAGCTGCACAATTACTATGACATATATGATACTGCCTGCTAGCTCCACACAATTCAGCATGGCCTCCCATACCAAGCCTTAATGTCTGGATTTAAATCCTCCTCTTTCTACTCACCTGTTCTGTGATCTGGAAAAAGCTACCTACTTGGAAACCTATTGCTTCCATACCTAAGGTTTGGCATTTTTATGTTCTACCCCATATGATTATTTAGAGGATTAAATGAAGTACTATAGGCAAACTGTGGCTGGTTTCTGGCACACAGTAGGTACCATGTAACTGCAAACTATAAATATCGTTTCTATCACCATAAATACTAGTACTACATCATTATCCTCATATATTGCTTACAGGAAAAATGTGTATCTTGGGAAAGTTCTGGAGAAATCGCCATTCTCTCTGGAAGTATTCCAGAGCCCCGAGAAACACAATGTCCTTCAGCTCTTTCCGGGTGTAGTTGCTGGCTCTCAGGGGCATCACAAAGTTCCGAAGCCCGATCAGGGCTGATTGGGCATCTCCAAATACACATGCTACAATGTGGTTCCGAAACTCAGGTTTTGACTTGTCAAACCGTTTCTAGGGAGACACATGCCAGACTCAGGTCAATTTCACAGACAGGTAAGAGTTTTGCAATGAGCCCCACCTCCTTCCCCTCCTGACTTTGTCTCCAGAGCAGTACTTTTATAGGCTAATAAAATCAACTGCTTACACAAAAATGGATCTTACAGGTGCAGCTACCGCATATATATGAAGTACACACATACACACACATGTGGGGTATGTATCTATGCACTCTTTGCTTTCTAAAGCTTTCTTTCAGTATGAACTGAATCAATTAAAAGTCAGGTCAGTATCATTATTCTGATGTGTCAAGTATGGTCGAATATGGCAGGTTCATATGATTACATCTAATAACTAAATAACTAATAACTAATAACTAAAGAATTTGATAAATTCCGTATTAAGTTGAAGAAATTCATTGTGAAGTTAAAACCATGTGCTGCTCCTCTGAGGATCAGGGCTCGGCTCCCAGCTCCCACCTTGAGTGGCTCACAGCTGCCTCCAACTCCAGATCCGGGGGAAATCTGATGCCCTCGCCTGGCCTCCAGGAGTACTCACACATATGTGGTAGACACAAGAACACACGTACACAATCTTATTTTAAAGCTCCCTTTGATACAAACAGAGAACTTGGAGAGGAGGCACCAGAAGACTCAATTTTGAATTTTGTCTCTATCTTAGCTGTGTAAATAAACAAGCTGTTTTAACTTTCAATTTTTCTATGTTTAAATTCACTATGTTGAAATAGTGAATCTTTTGTGTGGAAATTGAGTAACACTAAAAGCGTGCTCTTCAACAGGTGTCAATCAACTTAGATTTTTGTTGAGCTCCTAAACTGGGTTTTTGTTTGTTTGTTTGTTTGTTCGGGGTTGGTTTCTTGTTTTGTTTTTTGCTTATTTTTTAAAATTATAAAGTAATTTTATTATTTTGTGTGCATGGGGTGTATTGCCTCCATGCATGACTGTGCACTACATGTATACGCTATGCACATAGAGACCAGGAAAGGGGACTGGATCTCCTGAACTAGAGTTACAGACAGTTGTGAGACACCTTAACTACTGAGCCATCTTTTCAGCCCTCAAGTGTGTGCATGTGTGCATGTGTGTGCATATAGGTGTGTGGGTGCGCATGCGTGCGTGCATTTGTGTGTGTGTTTTGAAATAGGATCTCATGGTGTAGCCTTGGCTGACCTAGAACTCATTATATAGACCAAGCTGGCCTCCAATTCACAAAGACTCATCTGTCTTTGTCTCCTATGTGCTGGGAGTTAAAGGTGTGCACCACTACACCCCACCCAAAATCTAAGGTTAGAGGTATGCACCACTACATCCCACCCAAAGTCTGGGGTTAAAGGTGTGTACCACTACACCCCACCCAAAGTCTTGAAAAGTTTAAAGGAAAACACTTGAATGTTGGTAAAGACTGTTACATGTATTTAAATTTCACATGAGTTAGTTCTATAGCCTATGTACATACAAATTAGAAGACTTCAAATGAATATATATACTAATAAGAATTAACACCTGACACATCCACTTATTTGATGAAATCACTACATACTGGGAAGACTCTTTCTGCAGGGATTGCCTTCTGCAGGGATATAAAACTACTTTTCTCCAGAGCTGCCTAGAGACTGATAGGAATACTAACTAAATTACTAAATGGTTGTCTGTTTAATCTGATCAGTTTTAACTTGAATAATGAAGCCACTAAGTAAATATCATGCAACGAGCCTAAAGTCTAATAGTTGCTCTGCTGAGATGACCTGAGTAATTAGAAACAATATCCACTGCAGACCGCATCTATAAACACAGCTACGGAAGCCATTTCCTCCAACCAATTATGGCAAAACCTGTCTCACATTTAAGAGAAACGGTGGTTCGACAGATGCCATTTGTTCAAAGTAATGTAAATTGAGTAATCAACTTGACCCTTCTGCAAGCAGAACCAAGTTCAAAGGCTCTGAGTTTCTGAAATCTAGACTTTTCATTCCTGCGAACAAAAATTCAAAACCCGAGCATTATAAAAACCAGAGCACTTTCTAAACTCAACAAACGACTGAGCATTCACTCTGAGCTACACACATTCTACAACCAGTATTTTAGGGGAAGTACAAAGACATGTTTGCATGCTTTACAAAAAGGATCTAACAAAACCTTCTCACCCACTGCCTCTCTTCAATGTGTCGATCTGGGTCCAGCTTTTAAGACCTGCTTCCACTGAAAAAGCTGAAAACACGCTTGATTTCCTACTCAGGGGACATTTACCTAGCATGGGTAGAATTGCCAGAATAGTTGTTTGACAGCTGATACGACAGCTCCGAGAAATGAATGATTCTGATTAAGTGAGTGGTTGTGTTTTATAAATATTTGAACATATTCTGTCAGGATACTAGCATTAAACCACAAAGGCTAGCATTAAACCATAGGTGGAGTGGTATGTGTACAAAAATGTTTTTGAAAAAGCAAGAACATGTTTATAACTATTAGTCACAGATGGGGAAATTACCTGCTTGAGAACAGAAGGAGGGATAGAACTATCATGCCCACAAGGCTTGCTTAACAGATGCAGTTTTTAATGCATTAAATATAAATATAGGAAAGTTAAATTTTGACCAATAAATTAGGGGCATTTTTTTATTTTAAAACAAAAGAATGCAGAGTTCTTGTGTGTATGTTTATCTGGGACCTTTAGATTTGTTATGTTTCAGGGAAAGCATTGTTGAAAATCATTATTTCAGAGAAGCTGCTCAGAGAAAGGCCTCATAGGTGAAGTCCCCTCCATTTTACACCCCAGCATGTCTTTGTCACATGCCCACGGCTCGTGGCCTGCAATGTGTGTGGCTAATGTAGCTTTCCTTCTAGACTCACGGTTTACAGACAAGCTGCTGCTTCTTGGGACTAGTAGGTCATTCTTCGCCCTCCAAACTGCGTGCTACCTGAGCTTTGCGGTGTGGTCACCTACCAGAATCACCTTGTCCAAGGGTGTTGATCGGCACCAGTGAAACATTCCACTGCTGTCCAGCTGCTCGGCAGTGTCCTCCACGGAGTCATATGCCCCATCCCTGAGCAGAAAGGGTGAAGAGGCAGTCTGAGAAAGTCCAGGGAACTAGCATAGCGGCCCTAGGGCCAAAGCCATAACTTATTGGCCAGGCTCAGCCATGTGGCTCCTGCTAACTCTTAGGGAGTTGGGGAATACAGATGTATTTTCAATGAGATAAAAGTTAATAACCAAAACATAGAACCCTTAAAGCACAAAAGTCAATCTTTTCAACTCTGCAAGAGATCTTGGAGATCTTTTCCTTGTGTTTTATGGACGAAAGGCAATAGCTAACAAATTATACGGCCTGTGCTTAAGGCTTAGTTTGAGGGTCCTCTTGCTCGGAATACCCAACTCTCCTTTCCTCCCATGTCTGGACCAGTGGGATACAGCAAGTTAGGTCCAAAGATATATGAGGAGCAAGGTTGAGGTAAAGAGAGGCCCCTGAGGAACCTCTGGGCTGAGGAGCCTATGCACTGCTAGACTGCCAATCAAGGCTGAATTCAGTGCCCAGGGAGGAGAGCAGAGCTTGACAAGCCATGATTGCAGCACCAGGAGCAGGGGCAGTGGGCGTGGGAAGTCGGAAACTGGCAGGGGAGTAAAGCTCATTGCTCCCATACCCCACCACAACTCTGATGGCCAGAAGGATCATGGGAAGAGCATGGCAGTGACTGCATACAGCAGAGAGGAAGAAGGGTGAACCCAGCAAGCTACGGACATTATAAAAGAAAAGGGGTACAGGCCCTGGAAGTGGAGAGACTGGCAACGCTCATTATCTCCTGCCTCCAGCACTGCAGTCAAGCAGAAGCACAGGAAGAAAACGGAGGAGGCTGAATGTGGTAGAGACTTGACTTGGTGTATGTACCAGGTGAAGGGGTACAGAAAAGTACACCAGAAAAAGGGGTACAGGAACTTGACACTGTGGGACCAGCAATGCTCAACACCTCTCCACCCCCCAGTCAGGATGAACAAGGAATCAGGAGCCAGGGAAGAGCATGGGGGCACACGCAATGTGCAGCACAGACTACGGGAATAGCAGAAGTAGCTCTTCACCACCACCATCTGAGAGACACCAGTATTCATAAACTCTGTGTTTCTTTTTTTATTATTTATTTATTCAAAATTTCCACCTCCTCCCCGCCTCCCTTTCCCCTCCCCCTCCCCACAACTCTGTATTTCATAGGAACATATCTTGCCTTAAATTTTATAAACAAAGATCAACTAAATACCAACTTTAAGGATATCTGTCCTCTGCCGGGTATAGTGGTGCACACCTTTAATCCCAGCATTTGGGAGGCAGGAGCAGGATGATCTCTATGAGTTCGAGGCTAGCCTGGTCTACGTAGAGTTCTTGAACACTCAGAGTGACACAGTGAGGCTTTGTCTAAATAAATAAGTAAAAACCTGCCTTCTGAAATTCTCTGGAGCAGAGTGAGACACATTCAGGAAACCCCAGTGTGATACAGGATGGATGGATAAGGGCACGTAAACCAATTCTCCTCTCACGTGTCTGCTTCGGACCATGTCTGTGTTCATCACACAGAATAGGACAATTAAGGACAGCAGAAGAACCACCACAGAGTCATTTGTTTTCACAGCCAGATTAAGAATGGGGAATGACGGAAGCCACTGGACAGATATTTATGGCTCCATCTTGCCCATGGCAAGACAACCCTTTCTCATAGGGAGGACTCAGCAAAGAATTTATGAAGGCGGTCCAGTCATGGCTGCATCTCATCACGCACCATCATGTATGTTGTCTTTGTAACCACAGCTCTCAAGTGTAAACCACGGGAGTGTAACCATGGTGTGTGCAGTCATGCACTTGCACACTTAATGCCAGAGGCCAAGACTGCTCTTGAGAGACCAGGGTGCCATTTCTCACAACACTTTGGCTGGGATACCTACTGGATGAACAGAGACACCACATCCCCCCTGGGCTTGTCCATATTCTTCTCACCTCTTCAAACCCTCCCTCTCACAGGAGGCTTTCTGGAAAATTCCATGTGGCATCACCTCTTCCTATGACTTTCTGCTGGACCCTTCAGTGAGCATCTGAAGAGATGTTCCCTCTCTTGGCTTTTGATTTATTCCTGTATCTTGTTTATCCAGTGGAGTTGCTTATAGTATGCTTCCTATATCCAGAAAAGCATCAGGCATGATGCCTAGGTAGCACAGACAGTTCTCCATAAACAGCTGTTTACCAACTGTTTTTAAAGAGCAAAATACCCTCATCCCAATGGTGTTCTGTAGCTGTTTGGTTGTTGGAAATAGTGAGGCCAACCCTGAATGCCTGAAATGCCCCAGCCCCTCCCCTTCATCTAATCCTTGGCCCTTCCTCCCTGATTATCTCATCTCATTTCAAACACCCTAGGAGAGAAAGCAAGAAAATTCCCACAGCCTTGCATTTATCTCAGAAGATGACACCCTTTGCCACCTGAGACAACATACGATACCTGCCCCACTGTATTATTCATTCAGACTCATTTCACATATTTTCCCAAGTATAAAACCGATTACTACACCAGGTCTGATGACATGAGCCAGTAACCCCAGCTACTTGGGAGGCTAAGGTAGTAGAGCTGCAATTCTAAGGCCAGCTAGAGGAATTTAGTGAGACACTGTCTCAAACAAAATGTGTTCCTTTAAAAGAGGCCAGTATAGCTTAGTGGTAGAGCACTTGTCTGCCATATGCAAGACCCTGGGTTCCATCCCTGGTACCACGAAGTAGAAAATGTACTATGTCTTCTTAGTTCAGGGTTTCTATTGCTGCAACGAGACACCGTGACCAAAGGCAAAGGCAAAGGGGAGAAAAGGGTTTACTTGGTTTATACTTTAACATTGGTGTTCAGCACTGAAGGAAGTCAGGACAGGAACTCAAACAGGGCAGGATCCCAGAGGCAGGAGCTGGTACAGAGGCCATGTGGGGAGCTGCTTACTGGTTTGCTTCCCATGGTTTGTTCAGTCCACCTTTTTACAGAACCCAGGACCAGAAGTCCAGAGTTAGAACCACCCACCATGGGCTTAGACCTCTGCCATTGATCACTAAATGAGAAAATGCCTTACAGTTGGATCTCAAGGAGGCATTTCCTTAGCTGAGGCTCCTTCCTCTGATAACTCTAGTTTGTGTGAAGTTGATACATAACACCACCAAGCACAGAACACTAAGGAATATGTAGTGAGAATTGTACTCGTGTGCTGTTTTCTTGTTATTGTTATACACTTGACTAACACTCCTTTATTCTGCCATAGCCAATGACTGGCAAGCACCTTCTGGTTTCCTATGAGATCCTCTGTAGACTTGATGTATATGTGAGTATTCATTGCTCTGCTCTTGACTTCCTTTAAGCACACTCCTTGAGGTTCATCCATTTTCCCCCAAAGGGCAGGACTGCCTTCTTTATAAAATGGGAATCTCCAAAATAAAGGCACACACCTTTATTTTCAGCACTTGGGGGAAGAGGCAGGTGGATCTCTGTGAGTTCAGGGCCAGCTTGGTCTATATACTGAATACCAGGAAAGTCAAAGCTACATAGTGAGACCCTGTCTCAAAAAAACAAAAATCAAAACCAACCAACCACCTGAACAAACAAACAGCAACAGCAGCAGCAAAAGCGTGTGCATGTGCTGCAGTGTGGCATCTAGAGACACAGGTCCCATTTCCTTACCCTTCACTGCCATCCCAGGCCCAGCGCTCGCCCGTTGTGATGAAAGCTGCGACTGGAAGGAGCATTTAGGAATCCTTGATAGACGAAATTCATCCCCTTTAGCTAAATATTCAGAAACTGGTTCACTGGATCACATGTTGTGATGGCTTGAAGAAAACGGCCCCCAAAGGGAGTGGCACTAGTAGGAGTGTGGCCTTGCTGGAGGAAGTGTGTCACTGTGGGGCGGGCTTTAGGCCTCTTTTCTCAAGCTTTTCCTGCCGCCTCCTGGTCAGGATGGAGCCAGCACCACGTCTGCCAGCATGCCACCATGCTCCCGCCATGATGATAATGGAGGGAACCTCTGAAACTGTGAGCTGCCACCTCAAGGAAATGTTTCCTTTGTAAGAGTTACCATGGTCATGGTGTCTCTTCACAACACTAAAAAAAAACCTAAGACACATGTATATTTTAATTTTTTTTTGAGAAACTCTCATACTGTTTTATATAAAGGTTATACTAGCAAAGTACTTGTATAGTTAATACCATTCAATCATTTAAAAATCTGCCATTTTGGTCATAGTCTATAATCTCTTCATAATAGTTTATCTTCCATTGATAATATATTTACTTTTAGGTGATCATAATTCTCAATCCTTAAGAATCTTCCTATATTATTATTCTTACTAAACTGAAATATTGCCTACATATTACAGAGCTGTTTTTATTAAAATTGGGGATGATAAATATTTTAGATTGGCCTGATTTTTTAGAATCAACTAAACAAATAATTCTCCACCTTGTTTTCTGGTTAGTAATTTTTTTTCTTTATTTTTGAGACAGTCTCGTGTAGTCAGGTTAGCCTCACATTCACTGTGTAGACAACAATGACCTTGAACTCCCAATCTTCCCAAGTACTGGGATTACAAGAGAATGCCAACACGTCTAGTTTTATGTCCCAAGCCCAGGGGTTTTTTTGTTGTTGTTTTTGTTTGTTGTTTGTTTGTTTTGTTTTTTACAGACAGGGCTTCTCTGTGTAACAGTCCTAGCAGTCCCGAAACTAGCTCTTGTAGACCAGGCTGGCCTTGAACTCACAGAGATCCACCTGTCCCTGCCTCCTGAGTGCTGGGATTAAAGGTGTGTGCCACCACTGCCCAGCATGCCAAGTCCAGGTTTTTGTACATGCTAGAGCACTCTACCAACTCAGCCGCATCTTCATCTCCAGGTAGAAATTTTAGTACACTGAAGAACTGGAGAGAAAATTTAGTTGGGGAGGGAGAACTCTTTGGTCCCATTTTGAAGATTCAAAAACTTAGGCAATCTTAGCTAGGTATAATGGTTTATGCCTTTAACCGCAGCACTCAAGAGGCAGAGGCAGGTGGATTTCTAGAGTTGAAGGCCAGCCTGGTCTACATAATGAGACCCTGTCTCAAAAAACAAAAACAACAACAAGCAAACAAATAAACAAACAAAACCCTTAGGCAATCTCATTAGCAATTTGTTAAAAGTATGGGGGTAATAACTAAAAGGCTATTTGGAGCTAGCTAAGAATTAGCTCTTTCATTTATAGAGTACTTGAAAGGTGACCTGAAAGAAATTGGATGCACAAGGTTATTAGTGTCCCAAAGATATGAGCAATGGCAGAAAAAAGTATGTGATATGGGGCCAAAGTAGGGATGAATATATTTTGTAAACAGCAATTCCACTGGTCTGCAGAGGTTCTGATAAAGCAAATATTTTAATCTAAGTCGAATTTTTAATGCTGAGTGATGTAAGATGTTGCCGTTCTGTGGTTCTTACCTATTCTCAAAGGTTGTGCTGGCAAGAAAGCTCTCCTGTTCTCTTGAAATAAAATTCTGATTTTCTGAATTGCAGGTGAATTTCTTATTGTTGCCTTTCATCACCACGATGTCTGGCCCTGCAAGTGCACAGCAACCTCAATGAATCACATATCATCTGTCATCTCCTTCCCAGGGACTTCCCAACCATTTCCACTGACCGAATCATTTCCAGGCTCCTGCTTAGGAAGAATCTGTGAATCCTTAGCGACTGCTAGGCTGAAAAGATGGATTATAGCCAAGTCTTTGGTTTCCATCTATACCAGTGGTTCTCAAACTTCCTGATGTTGCAACTTTTAACAGCTTCTCATGTTGTAGTGACCCCCAACTATAAAATTATTTTTTGTTGCTACTTCATAACTAATTTTGCTGCTGTTACAAATCATAAATATCTGATAAGCAGGATATCTGATATGCAACCCCCAACCCAAAGGTTGAGGACCACTGCCCTAAAGAATCAGACTAATTTCTAATCCACCTGGCATGTGAGAGTATCTCTAGGTTACTTCTGTGCTTTCTTCTGTCTCCCAAGGGGCAGAGGCTGGAGTTACACAGGACTGGGAAGCCTAACAACAAACCCTATCCTTCCTGTACATTTGGTCAGGTTCCAATTCACCATTGTCAGGTGTTATGAGTTTCTATTTGATCTTCCCTTTCAGGGTATTTTTTACTAACAATTCAGACTTTTAAAGAATCTGATATTCCGAGGGTATGTCTCAAACTGCTTGGGAATTTCCACATATAGAAATAACATAAAAAGTAATAATTTTCTCTTCTGCAAAAATAAAAAGAAACACACTATGACTTTTAAGGATGTTCATGAGGATAAATGCAAGAATATTTGAAATAAGTAGATTAAATGAGCAATATTGAAATGTAAGATGGAGAAAAGTCACACACGAGACATGACTCCTTGCACATGTATATTCAGTCACGTCAATCTCCTCCTAAACACAGTTCAACTTTATTAATTTATGGTCCTTATCTTTCTGTCCACTGATCTGTCTATCTGCCTTTCTGTGTTGATAGTGTACAAGTAATAATTTTCTCATATTTTAGGATAGAAATGGTAGAAAGGCTTCATGCTCTCAAGGTAAATTGTTAATATCATGACACAGTTTACTAGGGTTTTCCAGTGGGTACCTTAAGGGAGATTGCTATAAAACAACTGTGGTGTTTTGAATAAGAATGTCCCCCCCAAAAATTCATAGATTTGAATGCTTGGTCCCCAGGGAATGGCATTATTAGGAGATGTGGCCTTGTTGGATTGGGTGTGATTTTGTTGGAGGAAGTGTGTCATTGGGGGTGGGCTTTGAGGTTTTAGAAGCTCAAGCCATGCCCAGTGTCACTCTTTCTTCCTGCTGCCTGACAATCCAGGTGTAGAACTCTTAGGTACTTCTCCAGCACCATGTCTGCCTGTATGCCACCATGATGATAATAGACTAAGTCTCTGAACTGTAAGCCAGCCCCAGTTAAATGTTTTCTCTTATAAGAACAGAATGATGTTAAAAGATGAGCATTTTGCCAAGGAAAAGAGCTCCAGAAAGTTTAAATTTGAGCCAGGTCATCTGCCAGAAAGGCTGTAATGGTCAGAGAGAGAGAGATCTCCTGCTCTGCCCTGAGACAACAGGAAAACATCAAAGACAAGACCCAGTCAACAAAGGCTGCAGCGTAGAAGAATGCTAATTCATTTGAATGACCAGAGGGTCTAAGCTGAGAATGCACAAGGGATGCCCTGATCCTGGGAAGCAACTAGGAACGTGTTTCCTCAGGATCAGCATGTAGGAGCTGATGCAACTGTGGTCCTGCATACGGTACTGGTTTTGTAGGCAGGAAAGATGACAGACTGAGGGAGTCATGAAGCCCTGTACTGTGGTCGCAGAGAGTCACTGGGGCCAGGCAAAGTATAGCGATCTCAGAGTCCCTGCAAGCATGCCCTAAAAGCTACTCTGTGTTTGGGGGCTGCCCAAAATACCCACTCCTATAAGGATTGCTTGGGAATCTCACATGGAGACTTCCTTGAATCCTGTTACACGTTCTCTGAGGTTGTTGTTGTTGTTGTTAAGTGCTTATAAATTATTTTTAGTATAAGTATTTATAAGTTCTTTCAACTACTGACCAGCTGATAAATAGTCATAATTTTTAAACATAATTGCTTTATGTGTTGTTTTATGACCTAAGACAGATCTAAATAACAAAACTCATGACCCTTTCATTTATACATCTTCTAAGTTATTGATCACCATTGTTAACATATGCCTAATTTTAAAATATATGTATGTGTATGTGTAGACATGTATGTATATATAAACATTTTAAGATAAATTCTGACCACTAAAAACAAGTTTTGATTGCTAAATATGAGGGTTTTTTAAAGTCTTTATCTTTGCCAAGTTGAGAAAAGATACAATGCAAAAGCTGGGGAACGGGATGAGCATTGGAGAAAAAAAGAGATCAGGACGCTGGAGAGACAGATGGCTCAGTGGTTAAGAGCGCACGCTGCTTGCTCTTCAGAGGATCTTAGTTTGGTTCCCAGCACCCACATTAGGTAGCTCACAATTACCTCTCATGCCAGCTCCCAGGGGATCTGACACTCTCTTCTGGCCTCCACAGGCCCCTGCACATACATGGCATATACTCATACAGACACAGACCCACACACATAAATAAAAGTTAAAATACATCTAAAAATATTAACTTGTTTAAAGATATACAAAGACATCTTAAGATTCACAGATTTGTTTCATTACATTTATAAATAGAATTTCTCTTGCATAATGTGTTTGGGACAATACCTTATTTTTATGGTTTCATGTTTAGCATGTTTAACTCATGACCGGGCACCACCTCCTATGAGCTGGGTCCTCCCACATCCATCAGTAACTGAGACAATGCCCCACACACTTGCCTATAGGCCGATCTTATGGAGGTATTTCTCAGCAGCCATTCACTCCACTCAGATGATTCTAATTTGGGTCAAGTTGACATAAATCATTTAGCACATGGTGTTTCACTTCATATATAGTTGTCTTGTTGGGAAAAAGGTGTCTCAAGAATTGTGTAGGTAAATATAGGGGAAACAGATTGAAAAAGAGATAAAAAGTTTAATCTATGAAATGTGTTCCATTCAGGAAAGTCACATTTGGAACTGATAAAGTTTCTGTTTTAAGATACTGGAATTTATCCAAGATTATGAAAGCTCCTGGAAAAGACTAACTTTTTTAGTAGAAGGGACAAACTTATCATGCATATAAAGGCTTAGTTTTTCTTTTCTTGCATTGAAGTGGAAAGAGTTGCTAGTGAGCCATTGAGTTCAACTAGACAAAAGACAGAGTTACATTCTCACACCCGTGTCAGAATAAACTCGCCACTGTCTACCAGGGAAAAATTGTTCAATGACTAGTCTGAAGGCAATAATTTCAGGGACAGTCTAGTCGGCAATGACGGGCTGAGTTTTCAGGCAGAAACTGAGAAAATCACTGTGTGGTGGGGAAGAGCAGCGACCGGCAGTCGCCATAGCTGAGGTGCACTTTGATGATGCTGTTGGCTGGCTGTGTGGCCAATGACTAAATCTCTCTGGAGCTCACTCTCCTGGCCTGTCAGGCAGTTGAACTGGGCAACCACAAAGGTGTATCATTGTCGTTCTTGTCTTACAGCTTTAGAAGACCAGTTGTCAGGTCTTGGGTCCCCAGTGGGAAGCACAGGCCTTATCTTGGCCAAGTTCAAATGTTCCTTATCTTCTCAGTGATGGAAGCCTCTTTCCCTCCTTCGCCAGACCCCCAGGAAATAGGCTAAGGACAGAGATAATAAGAAATTACCTAGGGCTTGTTGCTGGCTGTTTTTGCAATCACATTTTTCAATTAGCTCAGGAGTGTACACATCCTTGTGACAGGTGGAACAGTAAAAGAAGGCCCTGGACAAAGAGAGGAAATCGAGAATGACCTCAGTGATGGCTAACACCAAGGAGACATGCTGCTGCTGCCATCTGTTTCCCATTAGCTCCTATTTGGTCTAGTGTGTCCTCTCCAGAAACGACTTGCAAAGTGCAGTACCTTTTGACAGCTTGTGGGGACTCAGCAATAAAGAACCCCAGGGTGTCCTTAGTCAGCTTCACTTGTGCCGAGGGATTGAGTATGAGACTACTGGAAGTGGAAGGAGAAAGACAGTAAGTTTTCTGCTAATCTCTGTAGCAATATTTGATGTTTTATGCTGGCATTAACAAGGGATTCTCTAAGTTGACATATTAATCAAATTAAGTCTATTTTATTTACTGCCTATGCTTAATCTGTTGTGTGATTGCGACTACACAACGCTAAGGGAGGTGGAGAAGGGCTTAACTATTGAGCAGAGAGGAAGTTCCTCCTTTTGGACAGTCATGAATCTGAGATGGACTGACCAATCCATGTGCTTGATGCCTTGTTGCCTTAGGCAACCACGACAAAGAGGGCACGGCCATACAGTGGACAGCCTTATGGGAATGTGATGGTGCCCATCCTGGACCAACTGTCCCTAAAATGAGCTACACGTAATTAGGTCTGGGAGGTAGATCAGTGGAGTAGCACTGGCCCTGCACACACTAGGCCCAGGGTTGGATCTTCAAAAAATAAAAACATTCTAGATAAACATTCTCTGATGGGAATGTAGCTCAGTGCCAGTCTGTTTGAACATCTGGGTCTCTGAAACCACAATAAAACAAAAAATATGAAATTGTCACAGAGGTATAACTAGTTATCAAGGTGAATTTCAATGTTCTTTTCTTTTCCAGTGGCTGATGTGCTTGAAAACTGTTCTAAATTTTTCCCACGGTTTTCCTTGATGCAGCACTGTGCCGGTTACTCGGTCCCGCAGTTTCCCTCCTTGCTCCTGTTATCAGAACGGTGAAGACCTTGCTTTTCTAATGTGTAACATGAGGGGGCCAGCTTGTTGGGGTTTTCCATCCCGCCCAGTACCCAACAGCCAGCAAATCCCAAAGAGAATCACACACAAGACTCCATAAGGTTATAAACTGATTGGCCCATTAGGTCAGGCTACTTATTAGCTCTTATAACTTATATTACCCCATTATCCTTATCTATGTTAGCACATGGCTCCGTACCTTTCTCAGCTGGGCAAGTTGCATGCTGCCTCTTCAGTGGTCTGCACAGGAATGGCTGAGGAGCTCTGCTTCCAGAATACTCCCAGTCTCTTTGCTCCACCCCCTACTTCCTGTCTGGCTTTCCCGCCTATACTGCCTGCCTGGCCAATCAGCGTTTTATTAAAATGATTGACAGAATACAGACAATTCTCCCATATCACTAATGCCCCTCAGTTCTTTCATTCCAGACAACGTGTTCTTTTCCTTCTTTACAGGCATGATGGTGCTCACCTTTAATCCCAGTGCTTGGGAGGCAGAGGCAGGTGGATCTCTCAGAGCTCAAGGCCAGCCTGGTCTGTAGAGCATATTCCAGGCCAGGCAAGTAATAGTCTGTCTTACACAATGAAAACAAATAAATAATCAAATTTACGTTTCTTCTGTTCACTTTGGAATGAAGGTGAGTCCTGATTCTGACACATTCTGTTGTCAGTGTAGGTTAGAGTCCATTGGGAGTGTGAGAGAAGCCTTAGGAACAGCTTTTCACGTCTGCCAAGATTGGCAGAGTGCTGTTTTGGTAGATCTTTACCTAAGACAATATAGTGCATTTGGTGAATATCTAACTGAAAATATTAATGAGGGGTATGATTGGTTTTGACTCTCAAAAGGAATAACATGGGTTTGTGGCCCCTAAATATCACTATTAGCAAGCATATGTCTCATGTGTCTAGGGACTGTTGAACAGCTCCTTTTGGGGGGAAGAAAGGCTCTCTGAGTTCATGTTAAACATTACATATCTCTTCTTGACCTTTTGTCAAAGGTCAAGTGTAAATATTTAATTATAAAG